ACACACACACACACACACACACACACACACACACACACACACACACACATGACAGAGATACACAGCCACACAGACACACAGACACACACACACAGACACACACACACTCACACACCACAATGTGCACATGACCATTAATAATTGACAAGAAATCGTCTCAAGGACAATAAATCCCCCATTGACACATTTGCACTATGTTTGAGGTCCAGCAACAGCTACAGATGATATACTTTTTTGAAAAATGCTAAAACAGAGAAATGTTATTGAATCTTTCATCCTTGCACTCATCAGGACAGACATAAGAATAACAAGTTTCAAAGGGAGCATGATATTCCTTTTTTTACTTCAGAGGGAAAATAGGGGCAGCACAGTGGCTCAGTGGTCAGCAGTGCTATGTCACAGCACCAAGAACCTGGGTTCAATTCCACCTTCTGCTATATCAATATGTAAAGGCATATAGAGATAGAGTGGGGAGAAAAGGGGCTGAAATGAATGATCAGCCATGATCATACCAAATAGTGGAGCAGGCACAACAGGCTGAATGGTCTACTCCTACCCCAAGGTTCCTATCTCTAACCTTGTCCAGCCCCACAATCTCCAAATTCTTGTCTCTTAAGAACCCATATTTCTATCACTCTATCTTTGGTGGCCACACCTTCAGCTGCCATACCCTACTCTCTGGAATTCTTGTCTCCCATTTAAACCTGCCCTGTTAACCAAGCGCTTGGACATCTGACCTTTCAACTTCTTACGTAGTTTTGTGTCAAAGTTTGCTTTGTAACGCTCTGGTGAAGTGCCTTTGACTGTTTCAACTGAATGTTAAAGGTGTTAAAAAATGCAAATGATTGGTCTTGCTGCTGTAGAAGCAGGGACACAGTCTCAGGATAAGGGGTCAGGCATTTAGAACTGAGATGAGAGGACTCGGAAGTTTTATTAATCTTTGTAGCCTAGAGGGGCAATGGTGCTCAATAATTGAGCATAGTCAAGATTTAGACCAACAGATTTTTGGGATTGGAGGAAATTAAGGGATTAAGGGATAAAGTGGCATTGAGCTACAATATCCTTCCTAATCATATTGAATGGCACAGCAGACTTGAACAGCTATGTGCTCTACAGCTGTTTCTAATTCTTATCTCCTTACAAAATCCTTCATTGCCATTTACCGTCAGAAATGTCCCCAAAGCCCAAAAAGCTTCAAGTAACCCAATCTTCTGTTGCTTTCTTTTTTTCAAATAAGCCTTTCCAGATCTCCACAGGGCCGGTACAACCATTAACATCATCTTTTTGTTAAACTGACTCATATTCTGAATTGCACACTTTTATACAAACTGCGAAATTGATATTGTAAGCATGTATAAAGGCAGGGCAGATGTAAAGATCATTAAAAAGCCTCTGCCCTGCCTCTGACCAGATGATTGGGAAGTGGTTGAGCAATTTGGAAGCATCAGATTACAAAAACATCTGTAAAGTCTTGTAATTATTAAAGAATGCTTCATTTATTTCAGGGAAAGTGAACAGCAGAACAGTGAAAGGAAATGATTTGCATTTCACTGGGGCAGCGATGTGTACCATCTGCAAGATGCACTGCAGCTATGCAACAATGTCTATGTGGTGTTGGTACGCTTGCAATGCCATTAAGAAAGCCGTTCCAGCATTTTAACCCAGCAGCACTGAAGGGACAGCAATATATTCCCAAATCAAGATAGTGAGTGGCTTGGAGGGGAACTTGGTGGTGCTCCCATGTATATGCTGCTCTTGACCTTAGAGACGGTCCAGGTTCCAGGTTCGGAAGGTGCTGTTAAAGGAGCCTTGGTGAGTCGCTGCAGTATATCTTGTAGATGGTACACAGTGCTGCTACTGAGTATTAGTAATGGAGGGTGTGAATGATGAAGGTGGTAGTTAGGTGATCAATCAAGCAGGCTGCTTTATTCTGAATGGTGTCAAGCTCCTTGAGTATTGTTGAAGCTGCTCACATCCAGACAACTGGGAATAAAACTGCTAAGTGTAGTGAAGTATTTAAGGATGTCCTAATGGCATAACAAGTAGCAACAGAATTTTTTAAAAAAATATTTCTCTCAATTAACAAAATGTGTGCATCAGAAGAAAATGTTGCTGATCTGGGGGTTTAGCCGAGTATTAGAAGTACCAATGTAATGAGACTTGTCTGAGAGACAAGATGGACTGAGTGGGTGGGCACATCACTAAAACAGATTAGAACATGTCTAGAGTACAACATTTCAGAAGCTCTTCATTGGCTGTAAAACTCTTTGAAATATCCAGTGGTCATGCAAAATGCTGTGTAAATGCAATTCCTTTTTAGAAACAGAGAAACTAGAAGCAGGAGTGAGCAACTCAGCCCTTCAAGACTGCTCCACTATCAATCTTATTGTGGTTGATCCTCTATCTCAATGCCATGTTCCCACTTTCCCTCCATACCCCCTTAATGCCTTTAACTTCTAAACAAAATCTATCACCTTCTTGAATATATTCAGTGACTTGGCCTCCACAGCCTTCTGTGGTAAAGAATTCAACAGGTTCACCACCCTTTGAGAAAAGAAGGTTTTTCTAATTTCAGTCACATAGTCACAGAGTCGTACAGCATGGAGACAGGCCCTTTGGCCCAACTTGATCTCTGCTGTTTATACCTTCTTTATGTCTCCTTCTTTTTCTTGACCAGAACCTCAATTTCTCTAGTCATCCAACATTCCCTACACCCACCAGGCTTGCCTTTCACATCAATAGGAACATACTGCCTATGAACTCTTGTTATCTCATTCTCGATGGCCTCCCACTTTCAAAACGTCCCTTTACCTGCGAACAGCCTCTACCAATCAGCTTTTGAAAGTTCTTGCCTAACACCATCAAAAATTGGCCTTACTCCAATTTAGAACTTTAACTTTTAGATCAGGTCTATCCTTTTCCATAACTACTTTAAAAAGAACAGAATTATGCTCACTGGCCCCGAAGTGCTCCCCCACTGACACATGCCCTGCCTTCTTAAATGGTCTACCCATATCCTGAGACTGTTTCCCCTTGGTTCTAGTCTCCCCCAACCAGGGAAACATCCTCCCTACATTGAGTCAGTCTGGCCCTGTTCAAATTTTATAGGTTTCTATCAGATCCCCTCTCATCCTTCTGAATTCTAGTGAACACAGGCCCAGTTGAACCACATTAGAAGTTTTTGAGAGCTTGCTGGGCACAAATCGCCTTGTGTGTTTCACTTTGCGACAACTATTACTGCATTTCAAAAGTATCCAATTGCCTGCAAACCATCTTGCAATGTACTGAGGTTGTGAAAGACGCTACAGAAACCTTGGGATTGTTAAGGACCATAGTTACTGCTACATCACTATGGCAGACATTCCTCAACCCATATTTCCTTTCAGCGTAGCACCCTACTGGACTGTGACCCTGTGTTGGCATTCAAAGCATCACCTATCAAAAAAAATACCAACGATGAGTGAGGCACCTTACCTTGGGTCATCACTATACTGTACCAGGCCAACTCTAACCGCATTTTGACTAATTACATCTACAAATGGTTGAATGGTTGCTTCAATGAAATCTTTAACTTCTTCAAAGTTGACTCTTCCGATACTCGAGGAGCCATCCACGAGGTAGACAATATCAGCAGCAAAGACATTTCTGCAAGTTGCTGGAACAAGAAAGAGACAAGAGTTACTCTGGCATATCCCTTCCTCAGTGTTCCAACTTTAACAAGTTGTTTCCAGAAACGACTAGAACGTAGAAACATAGAAAATAGGAGCAGTCGGCCATTCAGCCCTTTAAGCCTGCTCTGCCATTCAGTATGGCGATGGTTGATCGTCCAACTCAGTACCCAGTTCCCACTTTCTCCCTCCCCATCAACCTCTCCCCCATATCCTTTGATCCCTTTAGCCCTTAGGACTATATCTAACTCCTTCTTGAAAACATTCAATGTTTTGACCTCGATTACTTTCTGTGGCAGAGAATTCCACAAGCTCCCCACTCTCTGGGTAAAGAAATTTCTCCTCATCTCAGTCCTAAATGGCCTACCCCTAAGTATTCAATTAATTTAGCTGAGTCAACAGAATCAGCAGAGTTGCTTACCTGGTCTGGCCTACACATGACTCCAGACCCACAGCAATGTGAGTGACGCTTACCCGCCCTCTGAAATGGTCTGAGCAAACCATTCAGTTCAATGGTAGTTGGGAATGGGCAACAAATGCTGGTCTTGCCAGCAATGCCCACATCCCAAGAAAGAATAAAACAATTGTAAAATATTGTTAGGTTTTGAATATTGATTCTGGGCCTAGCTGATGATATATTTTTGCATTTGTAATCTGCAGTGCAAAAACCTGCAGGTCCGTTGGATATGTTTGTTATAGAGTCACAGAGTCCTATGGCACGGAGACAGACCCTTTGGCCCAAACAGGTCCATGCTGACCAAAATGTCCATCCACGCTAACCCCATTTTCCTGCACTAGGCCCACATCCTTCTAAACCTTTCCGATCCATGTAATCATCCAAATGCCTTTTACATGTTGTTAATGTACCCACCTCAACCATTTCCGCTGGCAGCTCATTCCACATATGCACCATCCTCTGTGTAAAAAAAAAGTTGCCCTTCAGGTTCCCATGTATTCTTTCCCCTTTTATCTTGAACTGATGCCTTCTAGTCCTCGATTCCCCAACCCTGTGAAAAAGTCTGAGTGCATTCACCCTATCCATGCCTCTCATGATCTTATACACTTTTATAAGATCCCCCCTCAGTCTCCTGTACTCTAAAGAAAAAAGTCCTAGCTTGTCCAAACTCTGCCTATAATTCAGTCCTGGCAACATCCTTGTAAATTTCACGTGCACTCTTTCCAGTTTAATAACATCCTTCATACAGCAAGGTGACCTAAACTGAACACAATACTCCAAGTTAACACAGTGTAGAGCTGGAGGAACACAGCAGGCCAGGCAGCATCAGAGGAGCAGGAAAGCTGACGTTTCGGGTCGGGACCCTTCTTCAGAAAAAAAATCTTCAGTTCTTCAGTTTTCTGACCCAAAACGTCAGCTTTCCTGCTCGTCTGATGCTGCCTAGCCTGCTGTGTTCTCCCAACTCTGCACTGTGTTATCTCTGATTCCAGCATCGGCAGTTCTTGTATTCTCACAGTACTCCAAGTGCAGCCTCACCAACGTCTTGTACAACTGCAACATAAATGTATGGATGGTATTGCATCTGTGGACCATTATAAGCCTCCCCCAGTCTAATACTCAGGTTCATGGACTTCAACTAAACTGAATACAAAAGGTGTCAGAGATGTCTTATGCAGAAAAGTTTGACAGATTGATCCCATACTCAGGGGAGTTTCAAAAAAAATTTGAAAGGTTCTGAGGGTCTTGATAGGCTAAACACTGACGGGGCACTTCCCATGTTTAGGAAATCTTGAACTCAGGGGCACAGTTTCAATCCGACAAATTGCCTGTTTAATTTCATTTCCGAGAGAATCGTGAATCTTGAGAATCTCTACTGCCGAGAGCTGTGGAGACCGAGTCATTGAATACATTCAAGGCCTACTTAGTCTAATTATTGAGAAAATAGGGAAGTCAAGAGCAATGGGGAAAAGACAGAAAAGTAGATTTGAGACCAAAATTTGATCAGCCATAATCGTACTGGATGGGGGAGCAGACATGAGGGGCCGAATGGCCTACTCCTGCTCCTATTTCTTAAGATTTTATGCATCGTGCAATGGAAGGAAAGTGTTTCACCCTTCTTTTGTGTTCTGCCTGTCCCCACCTCACTTTAATCTCACCTGCTGCATCCTGTTAATCAGAATCACAGTTTTCTTTCTTTAATGCTGACCCACCTACATGATAGGCTGTAGACCACATTGGGAAGAAATCAGAGCATGTGTCAGGAAGCTCAGACAAGTTTATCCAACAAGGATTAAATCTTCAGCCTGGGCCCCAGCAGATCAACTAGCATCAGTGCTACTGAATAAGAGAGAGTAAAGTAGGTAGAGGTTACTAGCCAGTGACCACCACCTTCTCAAGGGCAATTACGGATGGGCATTAAGTGCTGGTCTTGCCCATAATACTCACAGGTCAAGTTGGAGAAGAGTGAATTGGAAGCTCTCCACCTCACTTTGATGGGTCAACGTGTGGCTTAATTGCATCTCCATGTTGGCTGCCCCATCGCATTCTCCATCGAGCTCCTGCTCCAGTTATTAAATCCCTCCTGCACACTCCCAAAATATTCCTTCATTTGTATCTTGCCACATCTTCTTTTCTCATTCTCTACCTAAGAAGCCTCCAATAACACCAGTTCCAACACGGTGAAGCAATTTGTTGCCGCACAAATTCAAACTCCTTTCATGTTTGCCTGTGACATAGGAAATAGCAACAGGAGTAGGCCATTCAGCCCCTTGAGTCTGCTCCATCAGCTAATGGGATCATAGTTGATCTGTGACCTACCTCTATATACCTGCCTTTGTCCCATACCCTTTAATACAGCTGCGTAAAATAATGTATCTATTTCAGATTTAGAGTTAACAACTGGTCTAGCGTCAGCTGTCCTCTGCCGCCCTTTGTGCATACACAGTTGAGGAGGGATGACCGAATGCTCGGTCACAGAGGTAAGTTTTAAAGACGTTGAGAGAGGCAGGCAGGCAGAACGGCTGAGGAGGCGGGGGGGGGGTGGAAATTGCAGAGTTTGGGACCCAATCCTGTGAAAGCACCACAGCCAATGGTGGAATAATTAACATCGGAGAGCGAAGAGACCAGTATCAGAGAAGTGCGGGTATCTTGGAGAGTTGAAGGGGCGCAGAAATTAAAAGGCGTGAATCATGTTAACCCAGCATAAGGGACAGTAGGAGCTGCCGATGCTGGAGAATCTGAGATAACAAGGTGCAGGGCTGGATGAACACAGCAGGCCAAGCAGCATCAGAGGAGCAGAAAGGCTGACATTCGGGCCTAGACCCTTCATCAGAAATGGGGGAGGGGAAGGGGGTTCTGAAATAAATAGGGAGGGAGGAGGAGGCGGATAGAAAATGGATAGAGGAAAATTTGATTTTCTGAAGAAGGGTCCAGACCCGAAACGTCAGCTTTCCTGCTCCTCTGATGCTGCTTGGCTGCTGTGTTCATCCAGCTCTACATCTTGTTAACCCAGCATAAGGCATGACTTCCTTCTGTCCCCAGTAACCATGCTTTTTGCTTTACAGCCAGTGTATAGGTTGACTCTTTCTTCAGCCAGGACATGCTGTGCTCATAATAAGAACTGACCCCTCCATGTTTGCCATCTCAAATTGAACATAGAACTCTATAGAGCAGGAATGGTCCATGATTCTGTGCCAA